CATTTTCACCTCTTACAAACCCCAGGAAACACCTGCATATCTCAGCTTTCCAAAGGCTAACTCCAGTACGAAACTTGGAAACATCCATCGCGAACTATCCGTCTACTGACCCCCCCTCGTGTACAACGTCAGGATCTGAGAATGTAGCCCTTGCGATACACTGCAGATTAGCGGTCCGCGATTTTACGAACGATCCTTCTATCATCGAGACCGGTTAGCTTCAAGAAGGATTTCCGAAGCTGCTGTTCGGTCCGATTTTGAAACGCTTCAATAAAAATTGACTTTTGCTTGTGGCTAGGCCCACATGAACATGTACATGACCCCAAGTATTCAGATTGACTACGGCGGCGAGTAGGACATGCGAGGAAAGAGCTGCGCTGAAGTTCGTGGCCCCACACACGCACATACGCCCTGATTCGCCGTTTCTGTGAGCTTGAAACGTTTCAAAATCGGACCGTACAGCAGCTTCAAAAACCCTGCTTGTAGCTCACCGATCTCGATGACAGAAAGATCGTTTGGCCAATCCCGGGCCGCTAATCTGCGTGTGTATGGCAAGAGATACAATCTCAGATACAGTCCAGGGACCTGTATAGTGCCGGTTGAATAGTGTCAGGTGCCCGGTTTATTGCCGGTACAATCTCTTGACACAGGCAGAGCTCTCAATAGTGCCGGTCTGGCACTGTTGAGACCTTGCCCGGTATAGTGCCGGTTGGGCACCGCTGTAACCCCCAACAGTACCGGTTAACCCGTGCGTGCACATACACGATGAAACAGCCTTGCTTCGCCTGGCGACTTATCATACCAACAGTATTCGGAGACGGTTTACCTTCGAGCTGGCTCGTATTCTGTCGGTAAAAAATCGTGATGTTTTCAAACGTCATGGACTCCTGATCGACCAATTTCCACCACGGCCAACATCGGGATCTCAGCAGCTAATGCAGGTAACGAAGATGATGATGTCAATGAGGGGTATTCATTTGGTAACGATGAAGGAGGAGGAGAGGGAACGAGAGGACAAGAGAACAACCAAGACAGCCATCGAGAAGGGAATCATGGAGAGGAAGAGAGCAAGAGCTTTGAGCCGGATGGCCTTCCCCACAACAAATGGCACAGGGCTAGAAAAGGACTGCCGAGAAAAAGCTGTAAACATGACGATGATAGTGATGGTGGTGAAAGCAGGGAGGATGATGGTGAAAGCACCCCAAAACGAACTCGTGTGCAAGGTAGCAGCCGTAGTAGACACGTGCAGTTTTCTTCTGTTGCTACCGTTTTTGTCTTCAACCCGGAGATAAGCATATCCGCCTCCTCACGGGGTCCCAGTTGATGACATATACAAGTGTTTAGTGTTTTCAAACGCACTTAGACTGACGTCTTCTCACTGGTCAGCCGGTTAGCGCTGTCGATGCTACTTGAAAAACACACACACACAACCAGACAGAAGACAGACTCCACACAGAGAAATAGGGTACACATGGCTGCTGCAGAGTCTGACCCGAAAAGCTTTGTACGAACGGGAGCTTTTCAAACAGCTTCTGCCGTCACAGGTTAACTCCTTCGGGTCCAGCTCTTTGTTTTTTTTTTGCGGCAAAAAAAAAAAGGAGGGGAGAGTGCGGGGAGAGAGACAGAGGTACAGCATAAAAGAGACGATTGTACTTCTGTTCACGCAGATAGCTATCTCCAGCCATAGGCCATGAGGGCTGCCCGCGACAGGACGGTGGGAACCGACAGGGTCATAGAAGGGTTGATGTGTGGTCGCGGTGCGGCCGCTAGGGCAGGTTAGGCTTGTAGACTTCAACAAGATCAGTCGTCAAGCCGCCCAAACCACTCTATTTTCAGCATATTCAAATGATCAGTGAAAATGATCAATGAGAGGGCTTGTAGACCCATAGCTGGTTCTTGTTCTTCTGTACTTCTCTGTCCCCTTCCCGACGTGAGCCCTGCCGGCTCACTACAGCTCCTGTGATTTTCCCACAATTCCCACAAGCCCGCAAGTACACCAGCACACACCTACCTACCTTTGCATCAGTGGCTCTCTAGGTTCGGGCGAGGGTTTGTGTGGGGCTATGATCATAGTGTATGTGTTACTGCTGTACTGCTGTATGTTGGACTCGTCTACATATACTGCTGCTGCTGTGTAGTATAGCTGCTGACATGATGACTGCTGCATCTTGGGAGTATGCGATTTCCAAAATTTGGAGGATATGCAACATACCACGATATCCTGGCCTGGTTGGGCTTGAAGTGCTCCTTTTCGCTGTTCTCCTGTCTTTGCGTGGCTTGCTAGATTCGGGCGAAGGCATGTATGTGGAGCTATTGATGTGTGTCTCTGAAAAAGGATATGGGGAGATATTCACGGTGGCATTCGCATTTAGAGCAGTGTGCATTTGAATTTTGGCCGTTCCAGGGACCTTGATATACCAGCTGACACTAACGTCTTTTCATTGGTCACCGGGTACGCGGTCGATGCGAACAACATAGATACACCTACCTATTGACTTGCCAACACCTGGCGTGGAGGGATACAGGGCGGCAACTCCATGGCACGCCACAACAACAGCATTTACAAATCATCAATCAATGATTTGTCAGGACGCCAGTAGACCCAACAGGGTTAATCGGGTGCATGACGCGTGTCTTCCTTTCGCCGTCGACTAGTGCTAGTGAGGTACTACTGCTGTAGCCCGAAATGCAACTATTTTATTTTTCAACAAACTCTTGTGGGTTCGACACGGTGGAGAAAGTCTGCATGCCCACACCCCACGCTAGAACTTCACTACATCTCGATCCACTTGATACTCGTTGGCCCCGCAAGCGTGAGCGCCACACCATGAGTCAAAGATGTCCTCAAAGTGCCAGTGAGTCAATGAGAGTCAATCCTGTCGGTAGCTGTGTGTGTGTATGGTATGTGGTGGTGGTGGAAGGTTCACACCGAAAACGCGAATCATATGTACAGCAGCATGTAGATCAAACCAGAGTCTGTTGGAACAAGTAACAGAGGTGTGTTGGGGGTGGCTGCTGTAGTTGAACCTGCATTGAGTCTGTGGTGTTGACGGCGGAGGCCTCACCCCCAACAATAGTGGCTTCCCCTGACACTAGAGGATTGCTGGTTGATCCTCTATTTGAGATGCGAGTGAAGAAATGATTCCAGCACGTGAGGGGACAGCAGCATGCCCAAGGCTGGCTGACATGATCCGATACCCAATCGTCTTGGTCGCAAGTCTAAAAGCAGATTAACCCACAGTCCCGTGCTAGGCACCCCTCGGTCGGCGGGCACTTCCGAAGAGCTCGCCTGGTACGCTTGCTACTGCCTACCTGAGGGTGGTTTTCGTTCTCCATGGCGGTCTGTGCTATCCCGACAGCAGATCGGGGCAGCATGTGTCACGGTGCAGCAGGTGGTGGAGTGCGCGTTGCCCTCTGGTATATGACTATAACAATCAAGCTCGATTGTTATAGTGATATACGCCAGGCGTTGTCTTGTTTTCGAAAAGGGGTCCCGGCGATTGAATTCAAGCGTCGGCATCATGCCATTCCAACGTCGTCGCCCCCAAGATGGAACGCGGTGTGCCACTGGAGCAGTCGGCAGATACTTGATATCTTGGAAAACAAAGACATGCTAGAGAGTGTGCGTGAGCCCAGAGGCATGAAGCGTCGGCGAAGCAGCAGCAGCAGCAGTAGCAGCAGCAGCAGCAGCAGCAGCTCCGCCGCCGCGCCGGGCGGCTCGCAATCTCAAAGCTCCCAGCAGGAATGCGGAGAGCTGCTCCACCTGTTAGGCACGGCGGCGGAGGCAAACAACGCAGGTAACATCATCGGTGTCTCTCTCGGTTTCGTAGCGCGAAAGATGGGCGTGCACGCCGACTTTCTACCGCCTTGGGCCTGCTGCTGTCATAGATTGGTGTTGTGTTGCATCCTAGGACCGGCCGGCACTTGGCAGCACGAGCCTCGGTCGATGATTGTTGCGAATGCAGATCGGTTCCTTGTTCTGTTTTGTCATGACCGCTAGAGTTTGTTGCCCCGGTTTTCAGCTGGCGCACGACGAACGACCGCAGTCGCGCCGCACTAGTGTGTGCCGACAAGGCAAGCTTGCCACTGTCCTCTCTCTGCTGAAGACAAGCAGGGCATGCCAGCCACTGGCCAATGCCTGCTACGATGCGCGCCTGCTGTTGGTGGTGGTGGGCATGCAACGGCTGTCGCTGTTGATGGGAATTGCGCGCCGCACATGCACATGAAAACGGGCAACGGCCGAAATGACAATGTTATGCAACCCTTGTTGACATGAACCGGGCACAGCACGCTGCCCCATGCTGCAAACTCTGCGCGAAATAGATAAGACCCATGGATCGTTCTCTGACAGTTTTTCTAGAAGGTATTTGCGGATGCTGCATGAAGACCTCAAAAGAAAATAGAAGGACTTTTCGCGTCCTTCATATCATACCGTAAACTTGCCGAATCTTCCGTGTAGGGTGCCACACAGGTGACGGTGCGGTGGTACTGCCGCGGGTGACGTACAGCAGTATCATAGGACACCACAAGGACACCACACAACCCTGGAACGGATCCTAGAGCAGTTGGATTACTCCACGGCGAAGAGGATCGCTTACGCTATGGATCCATTGCTAGTCTATCTTATTACTGACTCTTTGCTTTCACAGAGATGGATTTGTTGGGTCACATTGACAAAATGATGAAAAAAAGAAATCAAACATGTTTTCGGAAAGCTCTCGAATGAGAAGGTTGAAGGTTGCAAACGCGCCGTGCTTCGGCACGGCGGCTCTTTTCGGTTATATTCTGGGAGTGATCTAGCTTTGAGCATTGGTCCAGCGGATATATTCTGGGAGTAATCGAGCTTTGAGAATTGGTTCAACGGGTACTGTATGATATGGCATGCCACCTACGGACACGGCAGTGTATGTCAAGTTGTACTTGGAAGTAGTTGCGATCTATTGTTCGGCATGCAGCTATGTACGGCGTGGGCTAGCCAGATAAATCGTCGATCTGATTGTATGTTGCGTAACATACGCATATCGAAACAATCGCCCTGTTTGTCCGACTGTCTGCCCCCCCATCCCTCCCCTTTCTCTGCTCTACCTCGTAGCAGACGAAATCACTGCGTTGGCTGCCAGGGGGGTCGACGTATCTGCCCCCTCCGGCGCCGGCGGCCTCTCTGCCCTGCACCGCGCGACTCTTTCGGGTAGCATGGACGCCCTTCGCACGGTGAGACTGCGTAAGCACCTACCCCATGACTCTCGTTCCGGTTCAAACTCGAGTGATTTTTGCCTTAATGAGGGCGACCCAATTGTGTACGTGGGTTTGCTCATGGGGCAACATGTTCTTTTGGTGCTCTCTCAAGTTCTGATTCGAGGCAGATGAGTAACACCTGGGCATTCATGCTATGACGAGAGCGCGGCGGGTTATGAGCGTTTTCGCATTTCGTCTCAACATACTCAATCATACTGCATGCTCGGTGTTTGGCCGTTGCCATTTTTCCCGCACCGCCCGATCTAGCAGCAAGCAAGAGAAGGCTTTCTACTCCAACGGTGGCCGGCCGACTATCGTATGGAGGCGGCTGTAGACTAGAAGACACCTTCCCACCAACCTGCTCCGAATCACAAAATGAGATGCCTTCAAACGTTCTGAATTCTCGCCGTCAAGCTAAGCGACCCTTGAGTACCCCCCCTCCTCCTCCGCGTGCCCCCCGCAGCTTCTCGAGGCCGGGGCGGACCCCGACGCAGCGGAGGCCGATGGCGGGCGAACGGCGCTCCACTTCGCCGCCCTCCGGTCCGACCTGGAGGCGGTACAAACCCTCGTGGCGGCGGGGGCGAACAAGGAGGCCCGCGACCTCGACGGCCGCACCCCTCTCCTCCTTTCCTGCATCGTGCAGTGCCCGTCGGCGCCGGCCATAACCACCCCGTTGTGTCTCCTGAGGGCCGGTGCCTTTGCGACGGCGGCGGACGCTCAGGGCACGACGGCGCTGGACATCGCCGTGCGGTACGGCCGCGCGGCGATCGTCCGGGAGATCTTCTTCCGGAGGGAGGGGGCGCCTCGCCCAATCCCCAGTAACCTGGGGCTCTTGTATGAGGCCGTGAGGGGAGGGGACGCCGGGATCGTGGCTTGCCTGGTGGACAACGGGTGGGAGGGCGGGGTGCCCGTCGTTACCGCTTCCCCCCAGCCGCCGCCGGCGGTGGTCCCGCCGTCGTTGGAGTCGAGAGAGACGTCCGGTGGGCCGGCGCCATTGCCCGTCGGTCGAAAGGGTTCGGCTGCTTCTTCATCGGCTGCCGCAGCTGCTGCTGGGTCGCCCTCGTCGGTGGCGGCGACGGCGGCGGCGGCGGCGGGTGAGACGCTGTCGCCGCTCATGCTGGCAGCGGACAGCGGGCGGGTGGACGTGGTCAGGGCTCTCCTGCGCGGGCGCCACGGGGGGTTCCCGAACGCGGGCGACACGCGCGGCTACACGGCGCTACACTTCGCCACGGTATGTATGATTGGACTTTTTGAACCCTGCCTTGTTGCCTTGTCTCTTGAGCGTAGCAACGTAGGGCAGCAGTGTGGCACAACGGCATTCAACGGTCATGTCATCGGTCTTCTTCTCAACAATCTTGTCAGTGAGTGGGAGGTCACGTCGGTTGGACGGGTCGGCGCGCCGTGTTTTTGGGGCTAGGATGTGTCGATAGCATTACGGAACGTGAAGGCTGGCGTAGACTGCGACGCACTGCACCTTGCTGGTTTCAGCGTTGCCTTTGAGCGGGTTGTTCGCAGACGGGGTAAATAGCGTTCGTAGTGTAACGCAGGACGTCTGGCCAGAACAAGCGCTTGCTTGAGCCAAAACTCATTCGCGCGTTATTTGTGTTGGACGTGCGTGCTTCACTAGCTTATAAAAGGAACCTTTGACAACGTTTCCGGCGGTGTCGCCGTGCTTGTCTCACGTTATTCACACTCCGTCTCGCGCTGTACCTGTTTCGTCCCCTTACCTGCTCTACCCCTTTCCGCCCTCGGTGTCACTGGTTTGCTGTTTTGTTTTCTTCATCGGTTCTGGTGTTTCCAGCGCCACTCTTCACTCTCACTGTAGGACACGATGCCCCCCCCGCATTTCTTTTCGTTGACCTGTTCTTCGAGCTTTCGCTAGACCTTTGTCTTTGGCCCACCGTCCCCCCCTTTTTCTCAATACGCCACTTTTTGTTTCCTCGCCAGATGCGGGGGTCGGTGGGCATCGCAGAGGCGCTCCTCCAGGGAGCCGCGGGTTTCCACAAGGGCGTGGGAGGCGGGGAGAACAATGGCAAAGGCAACGGCAACGGCGACAGCGGTGTCGTTTCTGTTGTCACCGCTGGTGCTGGTGCTTGTGCTCGTACTGCTGCTGCTGCTGCTGCTGCTGCTGCCAAAGGTGCTGGTGATGGTGCTGGTGCTGCTTCTGCTGCTTCTGCTGGCTCGCCGGCAGCGGTGGCGGCGACGGCACCACAGCCACCGGCGGCGTCGGCGTCGGCGGACCCAGACGTGACGAATGCGGACGGAGACACCGCCCTGCACGTGGCCGTGGCGACTCGGCGGATCGGCGTCGGACAGGCGCTTCTTCGCGCCGGCGCGTCCGTCGGGATCGCGAACGGGCTCGGGCACACGGCGCTCCACTTCGCGGCGGCGCTGGGGCTCTCGGGGTTCGCGAAGGAGCTGCTGGACAGGGGAGCGGACGTAGCTGCGGTGGACGGGACGGGGTCTGATCATTCCGCCAATGCGGCAGGTGCTTCTGGTCGTGGCGGTGGCGGTGGGGGTGGTGTAATCGCTAGCTCCGCGAGCGGGAGGAACGCCAGAGACAAGCCGGGAGGCGACAGGAGGGCCAAGATGGCCGCGGCCGTGAGGGTCACCGCGACCGTGGCGCCCAGGAGAAGAAGCAGCAGCGCCACCTCTACCCCATCAGCGGCCGCCGCCGTCGCCGCCGCCGCTGCCGCCGCTTCCTCTAACGCGGGCAGGGGCCGCTGCACCAGGGTGTCCGCCGCCGCCCTCGCCACGTCTCTGGCGAGCCCACTGTCGAAGAAGCCAAGCCAAAAGAGAAGGGCTAGCGCGGGCACTGCCGCCACAATCCGAAGAGGCGGCGGGAGTCCCAACAGGAGAAAGGAAGGCCGCACGCCCTTGCACTTCGCCGCCATGAACGGCAGTGTGGGGGCGGCGAGAGTGCTCCTGGCGGCGGGCGCGCCGCCGGCGCATCGGCGCAACCGCAAGCGCGAGTCTCCGCTGCTACTGGCGGCGAAGGGTGGGCATGCGGAGGTGGTGGAGCTTCTGCTCGAGGCGCTAGGACCTGGGGGCCACGTCAACGCGGCGACGGCGGCGGGAGACACGCCCCTCGGCGTGGCGTTGGCGAACGGCCACGGCGATATTGTGGTGCAGGTGATTGGTTGGGGGGTTCGGTACACACGTTTTTTTTGTTTTTTCGTCGCAACCGCCACAGACACCGACGTTGTGAGCGAGGAAATTGGGTGGTGGTACGATGGAGGAGTAGACAATACGCAATCGCGAAATATTTCCTTCATCATTCTCGTTTGTTTTTTTCGTCGTTTTCAGAACGCAGGACGACGCTCATGCTTTACACTTCGGCTCCTCCGACGACCTCCCCCCTCCGCTCTCTCTGCATCTATTCACTGACCTACTCCGATCCCCCCTCCCCCCCCCTGCTTGATCAAGCTTCTTCGAAAAGGGGCCGCTGTTGTCGGCAGGGACGACAAGGCTCTGTGCCTCGACATCGGCAGGGACGACAGGGTTCCGCCCCTCGACCTCACCAACGTCTTGAAGACTCTCCCCAAGGACAACCCTGCTGGCGCCGGAACGGCGCGGGTCCTCTCCGCCCCGCTCCACGCCGCCTGCCGCGGCGGAGGGCGAACATTGGTGGAGGCGTTGCTCGAAAAAGGGGCCGATGTCAACGCGTCCCGGGACCCGGCGGGTGACAAAGAAGGGAGAAGGATGCTGAGGCCGCTTCACGTGGCCGCGGCGTACGGGAACGCGGAGGCCGTGGGCGCGCTGACGCTTCGGGGGTGCCTGCTGGACGTCAAGACGCGGGATCCTAGCGGGTGGGTGTCGTTAGAAATCGAACGGAATCTGGTCGCCGTTATTCAACTATTTATTTTTTCTGTGGTGGTGACGTTGATATGGGAATCTTGTTGTTGATTTGTGTGTGTTTCTCAGTGGTGTGTGGCGGTGCGACTGGCGTGCCTCTCGGCTACATTCGAAATCGGCGAGACACTGGCATCTCCAATTGTGCTTTCCCCCGACGGGCACGATGACGACCCACGCTTGTTTTTGAGTTTACTTCCTCTCTCCCCAGCATGTGCTCTGTACGCTGGCGCTATGTGCCGCTCGCCGCACGGAATACGACTTGCTGCTCCAAAACCCTCGTCCTTGTCAAAAACGACGATGGGGTTTCTTCTCACCCCAAAACTTATAACACGCCCTATAGCACCCCGTGCGTGTCAAGCGATGGTGAGTCTTCCTCTCACCCCAAACCTTATCCCACGCTCTCGAACACCCGGTGCTTAGTCAAACGACCATGGCGACGGTTATCCTACGTTACACGCAGGAGCACGCCGCTCGGGATCGCCGTGCAGGAAGGCCACCTGGAAGCCGCCCGCGTGCTGGTGGACGCCGGCGCCGCCATCGACGCGGTCCCCCGGGGGCAAGACGGGAAGGAGCGGGCGACGTCCCTCGCCCGGCTGGCGGCGGACATGAGGCGCGGGGACATGGTGGCCCTCCTAGCCAGGGCAATCGTCGACCGCGACTCGTCGGAGACTTGGGCGCGAGAGTGGGCCGCTTCCAGGGGGTTTAGGGTCGGCGGCCTCAGTGCCGCTGCCGGCGCTGTCGGCGGGGCCGATGTCGGAGCGGAGGAGGAGGAGGACGGGGAGGAGGCGGGGACGGTTGAGCCGGTTGCGGCAACGGTGTCGAGGAGTGCGCGAGCCGGCGCTGCCGGTGCTGTCGGCAGGGCCGTTGTAGGAGCGGGGGAAGGGAGGGGAGTGCGGAAGGTTGTCCAGGAAACGGTGTCTTGGAGGGCGCGAGCCGGTGCTGCCGGTGCCGTCGGCAGGGCCGTTGTGGGAGCGGGGGACGGGACGGGAGTGCGGAAGGTTGTCCAGAAAACGGTGTCTAGGGGTGAGCGGGCTCGGCGAAGGTCATTCTTGAGTGAGGGGAAGGGCGGGGAGGAAGTGGTTGTGTTGGGAGAGGCTCGGACGCTGGGGCCCGGACGGCGGGGTCCCCGGCAGCGTGCGGGGCTTTGAGAGAGAGGGCGGGGAGACAGATTGACACAGAGGCAGTCATGGAGGGACAGCGAGAGTTCGTGAATAGCGTTGCATTTCTTATATTGCAATGCAATTCGAAGATAGGGGGGGGGAGACCGGGGCGGGGGGGGGGGGGGGGNTAGTCGTTAGACCATTGACCTCGCATCCCTACAAAGCCGGGACGGAGCACGCCGGGTTCTCACCGGACCAGGCTCTCACATCACCAAGCGCGAAGCGCCGTGAGGTATTCGGCAAGTCGCATGAAGGACAAAGATGCTAGACCAAGGTTTCTCACGCACGTTTCATGTAGCGGAGCATAGTGACGACCACGGTGCGGTAGACCAGCATGTGTGTGCTGTGTCCCCATAGTGTCCCCATTTGGGCTTCCAGTCTTAGGAGGGTTAAGAACACGTCTATCGTAGCTGTAGGCTGCGTATTGTGTCGCGCAGGCCACGCCCTACCAGCACCGAAATGGTCGATTGCTTGAATTGATTTGTCTGTACCAATATGCGTTCGCTTCTGAGTCAACAGTTGTTTTGACACTTTCACACATATGTCGGTTGACTCTGCAGTTGTCCAAGTCCTGTAAATAGTTTTTATCCTGTAGATCTTAAGCGCTTCTTGTTGTCACCATTTTAGTTGATGCGGCCCTATCGCAACTCCACAGGACGTATTATTCCGGTCGCAAAATAAGCGCCAATTGGGTTGTTGTTTTATGTATTCAGCTGCTCAACAGCAGCCAATCGGTTACTATCTGTGAAACTTGTGTGAGTTTGGTATGAAGGGTTAGGTTTTTTGGTTTCGACAGCTAGCTGGACTCAACCACGGGCATACATATTCGGTATTTGTCATTTTCGTAGCTCCCTCTGGGTGCAGCGTCGCCGTCGACACGGCCCCGTTCATAATTCTGACGCTGATCATGATCTCGGCATGAGAGTAAGATGGCGGTCAATATTTTTCGTTTGTTTTCTGCCACTTCTGCGTCGACACTGACGCAGAAGGATTGTGGTGTTCTTACTGTGCCGTCTATGCAAGGTTGCTGGTGCGCTCGCCACATCATGTAGAGTTCCTCCTCCTCCATGAGTGGTCTTGGGGTTTCACACTGAAACGATGTCGCCACTACCGCCGTTGCTGGGGTAACGCCACATGGCTGGCGAACTTCGCACACACTACTACCGGTTGGTCCTGCTGTGCTGGTTGATCGCACCCCAATGCATGTATGGGGTGCGATCATGACACGGCGTGCCACTTCGTACATACGCCGTGCCTGTGGGAACATCATTGTTTGTCTCTTGGTCGGTGCCATCAGGACGCATACAGAATGCGTTTTTGGATATGTGCAAGAAACTCCAGCAACGGAAGGCGGCGTGACGGTCGCGCCCCTTTCAGGTTCCCGCTTGACAGCAAGGGGGTGCCAGCGGCGACTGGTGGCATGTGTTCCGGAATGATTTTTCAGGAGAATGACCTTATGCTCTTAGATTGAAGTAAGGTTTTTCACTCCTCGTAGACTCCGGATACAGCCCGCAACTTGGGATTCTGTGACCTTCTCGATCTAAAAAGGCAACCTCATAGAGCTCATGCAAACCCGAGAGCGAGGGTCCTTCCTTTCTACAGTAGGGCAGTTGCTTTGGTGTGAAAATTCACTCTGTGAAAAACGATACGTATGCAGGGCGGTCAGCTATCGGACCGGTACTCTGACGTACGTAAAGGCGGCGGCGGTGGAAGGACAACGGGTGGAGCACTGCCAACCCACCAAAAAACAACAAGCGAATTGAATCGGTCGGGTGAGGATCGCAGACTGTGGAAACGGTTTGTTGGAACGATGGACCTTGTCTTTGGCTTGTGTGATTCGCATCATGCCAGTGCCTCAGTGCATGGGTGGGACATGGAAAAAATCTAGCTTGAGCTCATCCTTAGCCCGAATCAGACACATTCCGGCGCAGAAGAAGTTCCACAACTGGAGTCGGCTAGGTTGTACGTACTTACGGGTAGCACCAGCAGGTAAACACGTGAAAGCAGAAACTTCACTCCAAAGCGACCGAAGCGAGTCCAATACTAAATCCTTCACGAGCGAATTTGAACTGAACCGTGGCTGCGTGCTGGACTGTAGATGTGCAACGCAAGAAGACCCCATCCTGTTCGAAACACCAATATTCCCAAGTTCTTCAACTGGCGCTGTATGTGCGCTACGGGGTACTCTCGATTCGATTCTACGACGGCGATCGGCCCAACGAGATGGTAGGCTTGACTAGAACTCAAAGGTGATGTCATCATGTCTTGCGCCCCGAAAAGTCTCAGGAAAAGCCGGTGGATACCTTGCTCCCCGTAAAGTCTCCGGAAACCTCTGCGGAACGAGACACCAGGAGTGAATGACCATGCAACCCTTGGTGGACAGACTTTGGGTTGTCCGCACCCCGGCTTGTGAAGAACCTTCGAGAAGGCGATGCTTCGATTCCGGCGCTATGACCAGGTACGGCCCTGCTGCAGAACTGTGACGACCTTGCCACTGCCGGTACACCGACCGACCGCAAAAACGGTATTGGACGACTGGTCGAAAAAGAAACAACGGCGTCCACTTCGTAGGCGACCGCACCACATGAAATTCTCGGCGACAGGCGCGTCAGACTACAAGCGCTCATGTTGGAGAAGTCGCATATATTCTCCCGTCACGCAATGCCGCTGCCGCCGCTACTACCTTTGTGTTTTGTGAACAAAACAGGTGCGGGATCGGCCCACTCGATGCTGTTGCTGCCGCCGACGTCCGGATGACCCCCTGAAGTAAAAATTACCCAGTCGACGATGGAATCAAAGGAAACGTAGAAGATGAAGGGCTACAGAAATACAGAGGATACACCGCAACGAAGGTACTCCAAAGTATGCATGACGGGAAAAAATGGTTTTGCCCTCAAAATACTGACCTTACTGCTGTAGAGAATGCTACGGCGCAACGACTTGTGACGTGCGCCGGCCTACAAACGTTGCTGCGATGGGGTGTTTGAAAAAAAATACAACAAGAGACGAAACATGGACCATGCACTCGTCCTATGCATACAAGGCGGTCGGGTAGGAGAAAGGGAGCCTCGAGGACAGCCTCGCAAATCGGAACAGGTATGTAAGTGTATTTATCCACTCACCGCAACCCTCCTCCTCTGCCTCCTCCTCCTCCGCTTCCTCCTCGCATTCCGCGTAACCCCCGTTGTTTCCGGATGCCTCTTTTCGTCTACGCTTAAGAGCGTGCGTGATGCCGTAGAGCAGAGGCAAAGGCCTAGCGCTTCCGTGGTCGGTGCTATCCCGTCGCTCGGATAGTCCCAACTGGAGGGGGCAAGAGAGCCATGCATCACAGACAGGGCCAAGCAAGCTGCTGGAGTGTGTCTACAGTAGTCAGGTCATTCTCCTTGGGGGAATATCGAGAGATGGGCTCAAGCTCAAGCGGCTACAAACCGGTAGTCAGAGTGGGTCTAGGGACGTTCATCGGGGATAGAGGGCCTTACGGACTGACAGCCGCGCATGCAGCAAGACAAACGGTCGCCGAATAAATTCACGAACCTTGTGTTCAAGAAGCCCTGCCTACATCTGCAGCAGACTAGGCCAGAAGCTGAGTAAAACGGCAACAGCCGCGTGCCGCTTAGGTAGGTCGCATGATACGAAGCACCAGCGCCAAGAGCGGGCGGGCTAGCTCTCGCCACGCGATCAGTGTCGGTCTCGCCCTATTCGAAATGATGCCCACCTCGTCTCGAATGAACCCCCTGTCCAAGGACCTCTCGATCGGTTGCCCGGACTCGGCCATGAACACGCCCAGCGCGTTCGAGTACCCGTTGTAGCTCAGGTAGTCCCGCACGAGCTCGTTGATCAGCAGGTTCTCGTTAGAAAGCGGGGTCGGTAGAACCCCCTCTTGGGGCCCTTCGAGGGTGTGGAAAACCTCCGCTCGCACCTGCATCACCACGCGTTTATGGGGCGTTTTTGGACAGCAGCGATGTCACTGTTGTGCTCCCAATACTTTTCAAAGTTTCAAAATCCGTTGACTGCAAGGGAGGACATTGATTTGCGACCGATGATTTGTTTTGTCTTTATTTGAAGATTGGCTGACACCGAAAAATAAGGTCCAGCACTGCCGTTGTTGTCGTTGGCAAATCGTTGGACACGACAGACTCAACCTGCCTCGTATCGGCTGATCAGCTTGGTAAATCGTTTGCGATTTGTGATGCACGACAAGGTGTGTGTGTGGCGGTTCCGGACGGCCGCAATAAGAATGATGACTGGAGCGATGTGGAATGGCTGCCGTTAATTCGTGTGATTTGGTTGAGACAAACCCCTTCTCTTGTTTGGACGTACGTAGGACTTGCGTTCGGAGCTCAGACCTATGCATACATTGTACGAAAACGTTGAACGTGTTGCACAAAGAGAGTGAACAGCTTCCATTCATAGCGTGTAATGTAATGGAGCGGCGGAATGAGGCGCTCTTCCCTTGCACGCAAGCATTTTTTCCCCACAGGGATGGAATGAAAAACACTTAAAAACATCAAGGTCCTCATGGGGTGCATGATGATGCGCTCATATATTGCTCCTCGTACATGTACCTTCGCTCTGAGCTTGCCGAGTACGCCCCTATGCTCCAGATTCTCTACAAGCGCCTGTTTCAAGTCGTCGATCGTACCATCTCCCCCCTCCAACGGCTCTCCTTGGCTGCGCTGTGAAGCATTCATTGGAAAACAGATGTCATCAGTAGGTACATGGTGACATGTTGTGCGGTGGACATCACGATAGTCTCATGTGTCTGCTGATTGCGGCGGCGAGAACACGTTTCTACCTCTGCTATGACCTACAATAATAGTAGGAGCATCGTGGACTCGAAATCTCCCCCTCATCTATATCGCGAGTAGTGACATCAGTTTGAACAAGAAACAGATTGTACGACAAGATCTACACCAATCCCAGGTCTACAGAACGGGCCCGCAATGAAGAAAATTCTGTTAAAGGACGAAAAGCTCAAATGCGTACGAAAGTCAAGAAAAAAGGGCTAAGAAACACAGCTCAATCTCGACCACAACATAAGAAATGCGTCAATGAGAAACATGATCGTGCGATACCCCCAAGATATCAGAAACAAGGGGGTAGCTGGGGGAACGTGTTCAATAAGCAAGGTCCCACTGCTGCTGCTGCTGCTGCCCCCATTCTCCCACCCCCTACCTAGCTCATGTCATGTAATTCTATGGTAGGGGGGGACGACAGTGGTTATTTTCGCCGCGCCCCCGCGCCCCCGCGGGCTGCGCTACCCACTGCCACAACCCCAACGGCCACACCGAGCTGTCGGTTAAATGCTCATGATGGCTTGGTGGGTTGTTGTTTTCCTCGCCAGAAATGAGAAAATACTAGATTCAGCAACATGCGACAGGCCCAAGGAATAACAAATCCGTTTTAGAGTTGGCCGACTTCGTCTGGTGTGTCTGCCCAAAGGAGGAAATTGAACGACCCGAATTCCACGTTTCTCACCTACGGGCCCGTTCTGTACAGTACATCCCACGCTTGAAATTCACCCCCCGGGCGTTGCCGAAGTTGTACGTACATGTGCAGTGTGAACTCTTACGTATATGACCTACGTTGTACAACTGTAATGCTGTAGACTAGATCCCTACACAGAAGAGTTCTCCAAACCACTCCTTGAAGCCACGACCGTCAGGTGCGATTTCCGCCGAGAAAGTCCGACACACATCGATCAGTACAAAAGACTAAACTCGTCGGGGGTCCCCGCGGAATGTATTTCCGCTTATTTAACGGTCCCGCCGCGAATGATGTCCTCCGATTGGTCAGTCGCTTGGCACTTTCGTGCAAGTTTGATATCAAAACACAGAGAAGGAGGACCGGCACAGCGAAGCGATCATCGCACTTTTCTTGCTTCTTCAGTGCAAACTGCAACGAAAAATTTACCGTGGATCGTGAATCATTATCTCTGTTGCCCAACGGAGACGTACAATTGGGTGTGGTACCTGTCGACGTACACCTTGCAGCAAACCCTGTAACATTGCCATCATGATAACGTCTGACCGATCAGGCCTACACCGAGCGAGGGCCCAATCCAACATCCGCCGTCAGTCTATCTGCCGCGCGCTAGTAGTGCCTACGTCTGAACGTTGAAACCACAACATCCGACCATGCCGCTTTCAGTATCAATGAAATGTGCCGCTCTCACCTGCTGGTCCGTGTGCGATGCCATTTGTCTAGGCGATGAGCGAGCTCGTCCGTCGGACCCGCGCCAAGACAACTGTATCGCCGAAGGCAAGGCAAGGCTTTATTGCATTACGCTTCGGTACACACGATGGATGAAAGATGTCAACACCAACTTGTCAACACCCGTCGGGGGGGCTCGCAGAGGGTAAGATCACGATGAAGCTCTCGGGTGTGGGTGTGTGTGCGACCTTCACGTCGCAAGGTGTGGGTGGCCCCCACTCCGGTTGATCGTAGGAAAAACAAATACTAACACAGAAAGACTACCCATTCGAGATATAACCACAGTCGAACGGGATGTGTTGGATAGTCTTGAGTCTTTGCAGTGAATGGAGGGAAACCGGCTGGGTACTGGGCTTATTTCGGGTCAAATTAAGACTTGGTGGATCAACCGGGTGGATCTTGTATCACATCGACGTGTAGCTGTAGACAAACCCTCTGGCGTACAAGAGAGCCTTCTTTGTTGATCCGTTACTGATCCGTGCGCGTGGCATTTGCATGCAGTAGTGGTGGGTCGGTGTACTGCTGTGGCGTTATTACACAAGAGGACATACATACGAAAAACGGGGATAGAACCAGAGCGGTCGGATGCTTCGTCTGCCCGTAAAACAGTGTCGAAGCGGTGGCCAGGTCTGCAAATTCGACAAAGAGACGAGGATGGGTATGTACGTTTTTCATGGAAGATACCTCAACCTGAGACCTGTATCTATCTCATGTATACCCCACGCTCAGTAAAAACACGTCCTCGAAGAACAATCTGAAGCAAGCCCATCAAAGCGAACGTGTCACCCGCCGGGCAGTCTAGCTGTCTGTGTTGCTCGCTCGAATACTGTGCATATTAGTCTAGACTACTTGCCATGAATTTGCTTTGGTTCGTTAGAGTTGAACTACAGCAAGGGGCTGGCTTCATTGAGCAGATTGCTCAATAGGCAGAGACAAGGGAGACCGGGGTTGTCACTCCCCACCCATTTCCGACGAATAATAATATTCTCATCGACTTGCCACGCGCCAAGCACGTCATTTCTCCACGGAGCGGCATGGGTCGGGCTGCGGAGCTTAATCCTTGGACTGGGACCGCGCTGCTGTGAAGCCGAGGGGGTGTGGGGAAAACAAACGTCGAAGTCTTTCCCCAGGCTCACCGCGCCCCAGGCCTACGGCGAACGCTCGAGCGAGCCACGCGCCCGGAACCATCAACACGATATACTTCGAAGTATATATATATTTTTTACCCTTTTGCACGCCTGAGGGGACACGAGAGAAGGAATGATCAGCACATGTGTTTGCCCGGCTTGTGTAAACACGGGTGAAATCACACGGACAAGGCTTGACGAGAAGAGAGGAGATAAGTAACTGACTCAAACCCAGGGTTTATCAACCATGCCCAGAGAAGAGCGAGAGTGGGCACGCCATGCGGTGCACCGAGGGGCTCCGTTACAGAATGACCTTCGAGAAGTCCCCAGGTGGCAAAGAGCGTCGGCATGACAGGCTTGCATGACCCACGGTCGCATAAGCATCGGGACGTAGATGGGCGTGGGCTCGTCAACAAGCGGCAAGCCGAGCGGCCACAAGGCCGTCCCGACGTCGACGAAGGGGGCTTCGTCAGTTGGCGCACTAGGAGTGCGTTGCCGTTGCCATCGTATTGATAGGTGTTCACAGAATAACAATAGCGCATGGACATATACAATATATACAAAGGGACAACAACTTTGTTCGTGCCATTTTCCGGCTCTCCGCAGGATCATACATGGGACGTTTCGGGGAGGACAGCGGCGCTCTCAAACGTTTTGGGCGTATCAACATCTAGCGCCTTTATTCGTGGTGGCATTGCCGCCAATAGCTTTTGAAGCACAATCTATCTCTTGTGACGCCGATTTTTTTCTCGATGTTTGCCTGCCTCCCGTGTTCTCCCTGTACACTTGAAAACGCCTTATTTATCGTTGTTTCTTTCTTGGCGTTACAGGAGCACCAGGTCCTGTTGAAATCTCACCAGCGTTACGGTTCATCATCAAGAGCAACCTTTTGAACCAAACCCTGTATTGGCCCCGTTGTGATCTTGTTCCTCCTCGGCTCATGGAAAGTACACCATATCACCTTCATCCGAACAGCAGCCGATAGAACGCGTGAGAGTCACGGCTGAGTCTTCTCGGCTTGTTCCTTGAAGGCCATCGCTTGAAGAAGCAGCAGGCAAATATCCCCCTGCCCTTTGCGGAGGGCAACATGAACGTGCGACCCCAACTTCGCGACGCCGTCTACGTCCAGCGTGTTCTCTTCCAGCAGTGCCCCCGCTTCAAGCAGAACGCGTACGGTCTCGACGTCGCCGTTCGAGATCGCCATGGTCAACGGGGAGATTCTGCGCGTCGTTGGAAATGGCGCGAGAGGACGGACGGGCCCAAGTCGTGTCTCCAAGAAGATAGATAGCATGACTGGGCTGTTGTTATGCTGTACGGAACGCACCACGAAAGTAAGGGTCAAACCTGATCTGAGCCACCGGAAAAGCGCCGTCGTGCATTGTCCGACGGCGGCCGCGCCGCTTCGAACGATAGACCAGCGCAAGTTAGCTCACCTCTGGGCCGGGTCCTTCTGGTTCAGGCCGCAAGCCACTCCCGAGTTTTCCGTTAGCACGCGAACCACGTCCGCGTGCTCGTTGTGCACGGCCATGTGGATGGGTAGAAGAAACCTGTAGCCTAGACAGGGCGTCTCCACGGCCGCTCCGCCGTCCAAAAGCACCTGAACAACTGCTGGGTCCACGCCCGAGGCGCAGGCATGGTGCAGAGGGTTGAAACCTTTGGCACAAAACGACGTCGGGTCGGCGCCCCACTTAAGCAGCACCTGGACCACACTGGCAGAGCGCCGCGTCGGCTGTACTCCGGCCACTGCAACTGTCAAGCACGACCTGTCAAGGATACCTCTCTCGGTATGGTCTCCGCCCGCCTCTAGGAGCTACCCAAAAATATGTCGCCGGCAGTAGATTGACCAGGGATATGGAAACGGCAAGCAAGATGGACGCGACATTGAGGTTGGGAAGTGCCCACCATGACTGAGCGCGCGCGGTCGATCAATTCGAGGACGGAGTATAATCGACGTGCTTGTTGTCCGAGAAAGTAGTAGTTCTATGACAACTAGCGTAGCACACTACTGTTCATAGCATTAAATGCATCCGATGTGTTTTCTCACCAGATCGACCATGCTGCTGTCTCCAGCTTGCACCGCTAACATGAGGGAGGGCTGTCTTTCCGCCCCGAGTGCGCCTGTTGACCTGTCTCTTCGTCAGGCGGGGGAGGAGGGCCTTCACAGCTCCTACGTGCCCCCCGATGACAGCGGCATGGAGGGGAGATTCGCGTGCCTCGTTCAAACAGTGGCCAGGGATAGTTCCAGCATCTAGAAGTACCTGAGCCACGTCCGTCAACCCGCGGAAGCTGACTTCGTGGAGCGGGGTGAACCCTTCCTCCCCTCCGGTTCCCGGAGAAGCTCCTCCTTGGAGCAGAGTCCTGGCCACGGCGACATGTCCTTCTTCACAGCCGAGCCTCAGCGGGTCCACTTCGTGAGGGTTCCGTGGCCCCACCGGAGCACCATGATCAAGCAACGTTCTTACCATGGCTGCGTCGTTCGCGTCCACAGCGCACAGTAGCGGCGTTTGACGTTCTTCGTCAACTGTTCTGGTTGACCGAGCTGGCCCGTTGTAGCTTTTCCGTTCCAGCAGGACCGCAATGGTCAACGGGGACTCGTCCCTCAAGTATACGCAAGCCGTGGAGGCGCCAAACAAAAGGAGAACTTCGACAGTGGCGATTCCGACATGCTCGTTCAGGCTCACAGCGATGTGCAAAGGCGTTTCGCATTGATAGTTCACCGCTACAACGAGTTTCTCATCATGCTCCAGCAAGTCTAAGGCCGTGTCGTGACACCCGAACTTCGCAGCCATGTGCAGTGGGGTCCCACCCGAGTTGTCCGTCGCAGTTGGCGAAGAACCTGCTGCAAGCAGCACACGAACCACTTCCGCGTCGCCGAAAGCTGCGCCCACATGTAGCGGGGTGTGGCCTTCCATGGTACGTCTCGACACAGCGGACTCTGATGCGGCGTGCAGCTTGACGTCATCGACACGCCCTCTGCATGCGGCGGCGATATGAAGGGGCGTGAGCGACCTGTCTGTGTACCTTTCGATGCCTAGAAAAATTATTCGACAGCAGAAATCTCAGCATTTTTGTGTGCCAGACCGTAAACGACAAGCCCTGCTCAACGGCAGTGTGCAAGGGGGTCCACCCATGGAAATCCTCAACGTGCATGGCCCCGATATCTCTCGCGACAAGCAGGTACACGGCATCGATGAAACCTTGCTCGACTGCCAAATGAAGCGCCGTCGCCCCGCAGTGTAGCAGCGCGGATGCCGAGGGAGTTCATGCTGGTCTCACATTCGAACATCGCCATCATCACCGATAGATCGACTCTTCGACAGTTAGCATGGGTGCCGTATACCCCTCGTTCGTCTTGGGGTTCACATTCTCCCACACCCGCCTACGCTCAAGTAACACGCTCAGCACGTCTTTCTTGTCGGCGGCACCGGCGGCCACGTGTAGTGGGGTGAACAGTAGGTTGCGGGCGACGAGGGGGGTCCGAAGGCCATCGAAATCTCCAACATGTACCCATCTTTCGCTTGGTGAGTAACGGTATCACCATGCTCGTACAATCGCGAAAGTGAAGCTCCGTGATACAACAGCACATTGCATATGTGATACCGCTGGTTCTGAACCGCTTGAAGAAGGGGGCTGCCCACGCTCGCGTCCCCTTCTAGATCCACCGATACCCCGAAATCTAAGATCGTTCGGACGCAAGGGTCCGAGCTTTTTCTGGTGACTGGATGTGCACACCACGCCGCGAAATATATCGCCGATTCGAAGGTACCGAAGCCAGTAGTTACGGACGCTCCCGTAACCAGCAGACAGCGAATGGAATCAACATCGCGGTTGTAGATGGATGGCCATGTACAAGGCGGACACACGGTGGTTGTTGATGGAATTGACATAGGCTCCGCCGACACGACTCAGAACGCTTAGCGTACCACTGCAGTCTCGGCTTTCGCAGCTACCAAAACCGCAGCGTCGCCTGTCTGGTTGCGGACGTCCCACCTAGCTCCAGCTTCCAATAGTATCTGGGTCACCCTCTCATGCCTCTCCCTTGCTGCGAATATTAGTGCAGTGTTGCCCGCCATGTTGGGCGCTTCTGCCTCTGCCCCCGCGCCAAGCAGGACCATCGTTACGCGTTCATGTCCCTGCCGAGCAGCACACATCAGTGCACTTTCGCACCAATTGTTGACTGCTTCGACATCTGCCTTGAAAATAATCAACAACGCCACCACATCGGCGTGCCCCCGAGTGGCGACGTGGTGCAGCGGCCTATTTCCATGGATGTCTGGGACGTTGGGATAACACCCTAGGTCGAGGAGAGCTAACATTGCTTCAAACCCGGCGCTCACGTTCGCCGCTACGTTCAACAGAGTGCGATCGTTTCTTACCGGAACCCACCCCGGTGCTCCGCCCTCCGCCAGGATGCGAATGGCAACGGTGTCGTTGCGATGAATCGCGTTACAGAGTGCTCGCGTCGTGCGGTTCACGTACACGAACAGCCTCCACACGACTTCAGGATATTCGGTAGCAGTAGCGATTCTCTACGCTGCAAATCTGTCTTCGTGATACCAAGCCAGAGTTCCACGGTCGGCTTTGAGCTCTTCGAAGACCGCAGTGCCAGCGCTCAAGATCTGCCTGAGAACGATCCCGTTGCACCCGAAATAACCGGCTATCTGAAGGTCCGTGAGACCATCGTTGTCTTGTACAATGCTGCTACCGTTACGCTCTCCCGGTGCGCCAGAACATCCCGCCCAGAAGGCTGCACACAGCAGTTCTCGATTCCGCGCTCCCGAGCTTGCAATCCACCCCACACGAGATGCAGTTACGGACAGATCGCCATCAGAGAGCACAGCATTGCACAGCGCCGCCACGCACGCTTCATAGCCCGTCCTTTGTGGAGGCGCCTCCCGCCGTCGTTGGCCGAGGAGCGTGTCGATGACGCTTGCTCTACCACCACGCGACAATGCTGCAAACAACGGACGGAGTGCTGATGGGGCTGATGATGCGGTGACTATAACGGCAGAGTTCCGACGCTCAACCGCCTGACCCATCCCTCCGTCCGTGCTCCCATCTCTTTCCAGTTCGTGGCGATCTGTGGTGCTGAGAGCCCCGTGATGGCCCAGGTTCTCCTCGTTCAGCTCTTTCTTTGCCCAGCCCGACACATTGAGCCTGAGTTCTCCGAGCAGGCTTGCACCACGCCCGATATCGTCGGGAAGGGGCGCCTGTGGTAGCTCGCCACCTTGTACGACTTCCTGCAAGGAAAGCGCCAGAAGAGATCGACAGGAGGAAACCCTATCAAGACTGGCGAGTTGGACGGCAACAAGGCACTCCGTGGCCGTCTTGGCAACCACGGAAGCTCCGCTTGGCAGGGGTATCGACCTTTCGACGACACTGTCGCCTCCGTGGCATGCCAGGGTCGCCCTCACGGTGGTGATGTTTCGGATGTTGTCGAGGGGGGTCAGCAGATTGTCCACTAACTTATGGTCCCCCGATCCCATCATGAGGGCTTGGCCGTCATGGCTCGGGGCACCAGCACTATTGCCCTCGGCATGACACGGAGCCCGGGCGTGCCGCCGAAGATTCTCTGGATCATCTGACAGAGGTGCCCCGCGCTTCACCAAAGAGTCCTGACCAGCAGCCCCCGGGTAGCCGAGCCCGGACTTGATCTCCGCAACCTCCCCGAACGCAATCGGCCTTGCTCTCTTCGCCCGCTTGACTTTGATAAGGTTAACATGCTTCTCCTGCCAGCGTTTTGCGGCCCTCTCCCTCTGCCGCGGCTCTACGAACTTCCCTCGTGGCCTTCATGCACCCTGCTATCCTTTCCGTGCGAATGTGGATTCTTCGCCTTTTTCTCTTTCTCCCCTGGCTTTCTGATGGATCCCCCTCGCATGGCTCCAATGTCCACCCCCGGAGCTGTACTACCCCAAACGTTCCCCTCTCACCACGCCTCTGCTCTGGCCCCTCAACCGCTGCTGTGGTCTTGTCTGCATGTCCCTGTCCTTCCTCCTCCACTCGCCGCACGCCCGGATCACCCTCTCCTGGTTCACATTTACAGGTTTACGGAGACGCCATGATTGAATGGCGACGGGTTGTTCGATGACAACGATTGCCGGCGACGATCCACCGCTGGCGAAACGTTTCTCTTCGAAACTTCGAAAATGCGTCCGTTCATGGCGTCTGCATCCTGGCGGATGGATGTGAATGGACCAACACAGCTCTTTGCAATATTCTTGTCTAGTATTATCGTAGTCTAGTCTATTGCCGTGTCGTTCCTGGGAAGATCTGCATCAGTGTACGCGGTAGCAAGGTGCCACCATGGTGGTAACCCCAAAGACAAGCATCGGCGGAATAGTGTGGCGAAGACCCGTGACCGAACCGACATGGCACGATTTCGGTTTCGAGCCTGGTGTAAACGTGGAGTCGTCGGAAAACGTCCGTTCCGACGTGAAGAAATGACTACGTGTCATGGGCACACCTCCCCGTGTGGTCGACTGTTAAGGACTAGGTGGAATACGCTGATCTTCTCTTGGAAAACCAGAAAATATATCATTCGTTTTCCAAAACTCGAAACTACCATCGCGCAGCAACCGTTCTCTGACGCCGCTGGTGTACAAAGGTATTTGCTCAGGTTGTAGCCCTTGTGATACTAAAACACAGATTGTGGTCCGCGATTTTCAGGACGATCCACTTATCGTCGAGCTCGGTGAGCTACAAGCAGGGTTATTGAAGCTGCTGTGCGGTCCGATTTTCGAACGCTTCAAGCACAGAATGAGCGCGGATCAGCGCCTATGAGAGCGTGTGAGGCTTAGACTTCGGCGCAGCTCTTCCTTGACATATCCTACTCGTCGCCTGGGGTCAGCCATAAGCATAGTGTGTCAAACCGTAAATAAAGGTGCTTCATGCGTTCGAAAATCAGACCGATTAGCTGCTTGAAAATCCTGCTTGTCAGTCACCAAACTCGATGAAAAAAAGGTTCGTATAGAAAATCGTGGACCTCAAGTCTGTCGTTTACGACAAGGAACGGCTCACAAACTTGGCTATCATTGTACACGAGTGACGTCCGCGGACGGGTGTTGCGCGATAGTGGATGCATAGTGGAGTTGGGCTATGAAGACCAAGATATGCTGGCTTTTCCTGCATTTTCCTCCAGAGGACATCTGCCAACTCCACTGCTACCCTAAGGGTCTTCCCTCTGCGGGATTGGGGAGAGTGATTTATGATAATTTCCCCGAAACACCCGAATTGTTGGGTCTCCACCGTACTACCGCAACTTGAGCACCAAAAAGGCATGGTGATATGGTTGGAGGCACAGACCCCTCGTGCCTGATGTTAGTGTCTAGGATCAATGCCGCTTGGATCGAGGCACTTTGGGCCGGCAGCCATATTTCAAACGAGGATTCGCACCCCAAGTACACTGTGCAACAAAAAGGTCAATCTAAGTGCTGCAGCTCTGTACAAAGACTTTCTCCCAACCTCAACCACGTAGCAACCGCGATAAAACCCTTTTGTCTTCCTCCGCCCACCAAAAACTTGGCAAGCTCTCCAGCACCGTTACTCATGACGCCGGTGGCCATGGTCGATTTACCGGCCTGGGGTTGAGTTTGGTGTCCACCTCTAGGCGTTCGCCGGTGAGCAGAGGCAGCTTTCAAACGAGCCGGTGTCTGGCTGCTCAGAAGGACTGCACCTTTCACACACCGTACATTGGTTGCAAAGCCTCATTTCTACATTGATTGGTGGACAGCCAAAATGCCCTAGTAATTCAGGCGAGCTTGGACACGTAACACCAGGCACGAGGGGTCTCCACCCCCCGCGAAATCGCCGTGGTATTTTATGCTGAAGATACAATGGAGTTAACCCAAGACATCGGGCGTTTGGGAAACCTTACATGAGGCCTGCACATTCTCCCGTACATAGAATGCGGAGGCCATACACACGCCGCGATTAGAGTACATTCATTTTGTTGGGTGGTGGAAAGGTAGAGCTTTGAGAATTCAGATTTATCAAAGATGTCTGAGTTTCGTTGCAAAGCAAACAACCCACCTTCCTGTTTAGCCGATGTATGGGGACAATTCGGTCAGACACTGCATTTTACCAGCGACCAGCTGTATTATGTCGGACGGTACGTGCGTCGGGTGGGATAGACTAGAGCTTGCAACAGCACCACCAGCGGAGCAAGACTGTATGACCCTCGCTCCCATCCTACATCCTGCCACTTTCCCGGCGCTCTCGCTAATATCCGTGTGCCATCGGCCGAGCAGCACGCACGCACGACGCTGGCCAGGGACAGTCAGTTCTCTACAGCAGTCTTGCTTAGCAAGATCTCGCCAAAATCTTGTCCAACCACCCCCGGCTCCGCAGACTCTCACCTGACCCTCAACTTCTTCCGCCACGGAACCACAGGGCGATTGATCCCCCTCCTCCAGCTCCATCGCCCAGGTTTGCTTGTCGTTTTCCTTGTTCAAGAGGCAGTTCCGGACGGTGTGGGACTGGGGAGTCAAGCCGAGGCCAAGCGGACCACCTGGGTCAAGTCATGGGGTCCGGAGGTTAGGTGTTGCTGGGGCGGGGTGCCTGTTTCTACCCGTCACCCGTTGCTCTATAGGCCCGTGTGATGCTCCTCATCCGTTGTTTGACAGTAGTAGCACAAATACAGCAATCTACGCCAATTATGTATTATGGTGTTCCTCTATGTCCCGGAACTATTTTATAGTGCTCCTGGCTTCATCTCGGCATGAAAGTCCTGTATGTCGTCAGATGCGAACCGCCTGCCTTCGCGAGAAGCCGTAAGAGTTTTGAGGCTGTAACGGCCGCACATTTGAACAAGACATGAGAGATTGTAAAATACTCTTTTGGATGGAGCTCGTTCGCCAGAAAGGGTAGTGTAGTATGGAGGAGGGAAGGGGAAGAACGGCAGTTTCGGGTGCGCAATGTGTTTGCTTCGCAAACAAAAACGTATTGTATGATGTGCTGCTGCTGCCGAAAACAAGATCCAACCGTTTTAGATCTTCTTTTTGCTCCCACAGGCACCCGGGCGCCGAATGGCAGCAGACGCACAAAGGATCACCCGCTACGCCTATCAATTCGAGGTACTTTGAATTCCTGGCAGTGTTACTTCTGCTTATCCACCCCTCTATCTGCTACACGGAAAGTCGCAACAGCAGTACCTGTAAACGATCTTCCGATATAGAGTGGGACTGGGCTCGCAAATTTCCTCTGAGGGACATCATCCCATTCGTTTTCGAACTCCTTCAATTGTGCGGGCCCCCTCCTTGACGGGCACCTTTTCCTCCTTCGATTGTTTGACACATGACACAGCCTCAGCAGTCAGTCCGTTCATGATGATACTGGCGTTGGGCACCGCCCTGTGTGGGGCTGCCAGCTTCCCGCACGCTCATGCGTTCGCTCCGTCCGCGATGTTCTCATCGGCAGCCTCGAACGCCTTCGTCTCGAGACGAGGTTTTGTGTCGTCTTCGACCGCGTCGGTAGAGAAACGGTTGACCCAGGCAGCAGCAGCAGCAGGTACTGCTGCTGCCACCCAGCGGAGACGAGGGCAGCAGCGAGGCGGCGGTGGTGGTGGTGGCATGGTGATGCTGTTCGATTTCATCAAGAAGCGTGCGCAGGAGGGGGTGGAGCAGACGCAGAACCTGGTGACCGCGGCGCAGACCGGGCGGCTCGACGAGGCGCTGAAGGAGACGTCGGCGTACGTCAAGGACAGGCGAGCCGCTGCTGATACAGGGGGGCTTGTGTCGGCCTAACCAGCTGCTGCTGTCCCATTTGGTCATGTGCTAGCCTGTCGTCAGATCGTTGGTGCTTGCCATTACGGAAGTAACGTCGAAGCTCAAGCTGTGAGTCATTCCAAAGCTACACCCCTAGTACGCGGGTCATGCATGTCAACGAATAACGTTCCACCGACCTACCAGTTCGACAATTGAACAGACGTCGAGCAGCAAGGGTGTGCAGCGTCGAACTGTACATGAGCGCACACTTCACCTTTTTGTGGGTAATCCGCATCAGAAGAAAGCGGACTGCAGTATTTCGGTTCTCCTGTGGTGGTGCGTGCCAACCAAGAGTTGATATCAACACGTTACCGTCGAGCCCCCGTATTTCTCTGCCGTTCAGTGCCGCCAACCGCTGTACCGAGGGGACAAACGATAGTGCCAATCTCTGTGCGTTCTCCAGATTTACTCCCTCTACTAGTGGGGGCAGTTACTCCTGCCGAGGGGTCGCGGGCAGCGGGTCTACCGCCCTCTAGTCCATGGCCTAGGCCATACTCTTGCGTTGTTGTCATCCAAGGTTATGCGGGCAGCAGCACCACCAACGTGCAGCAACGCGCACGGCGGCCTAGGCGCTCACGCTTGGCTACTGCGGCGCGTTGACTGCCCTCTGCTCCTGCAAGACGGTGCATTCAGGCGGTATAAAGCAGCCGGTGCTACCCCACCTCATGCTGATGCTGTCACCGCTAACGTCGATTGAGTACAAATGTGGTTTCCCCGTGAAGATTTCGCGGCTCCTCCAGCGTGCGAAGAGCACTTGCTTTGCCGGTTTCCCTCCCCTTGTCTTCGGCTTGACGTCAAAATGTCAACTAGAGGCTATTGGGTGGCTTCTGTTCTACCCGAGTTCACCGGCCTAACCCTGTCGCCCCCATTGCCGTGCTTCCTCCCTCCCCTCCCGACCTCATGCCCTCCCTCCTTGACTGATACTGTATGTCATCCCCCCCCCCCCCCCCCCCCCCCCCCCCCCCCCCCCCCCCCCCCCCCCCCCCCCCCCCCCCCCCCCCCCCCCCCCCCCCCCCCCCCCCCCCNTCTCCTTCCTTGTTTTTCTTTCAGGAACGCAAAGTTTTCGGACGGCCTCGCGCAGAGCCGGCTTCGTTTTGTGGGAGACCTGGAGAACCTGTTCGGCATGACAGGTCCGCTGGAGGAGACCCTCGGAAAGCTGGAGGAGGTGCGCAAGTGGAACACGCATTTTTCTTTGTGACGGACCGGTGTAGGACGGGATGGGTGGGTGGATGGATCGACAGGTCGATGCCGCGCCGGAGGAACCCTGTCGCCCGCTCTGGCAGTCACACTCTGTCTGCCTGCCTGCCTGCCTGCCTGCCTGCCTACCTGCCTGTCTGTTTCTCTCTCTCTCTCTCTCTCTCTCTCTCTCTCTCTCTCTCTCT